CAATATGGTTCATGGGGTCACGAAGAGTCAGACACGACTTAACGACTGAACAACAAAATACCTTTATCTACTCCTCTGTTAGGAAAGGTAATAGATAATCAAATAAATGCACAGTGCTGATTGATTGATTGATTGATTGATTATGTGCTATCAAGTAATTGTCAACTCCTAGCAATCACATAGATTTTCTCCATGAACAATTATAGTGGTATGTGGGAAAGACCTTGAGAGACTGGGCCAAGAGAACAGTTAGATAAGAGACACCATAGCCTGCAATTGGATAGTGGGTGGGGCAAGAGGCTCAGAAGAGACCCTCCCTAGTTTCTCAGGTTGTAAAGGAAACTGGGTGAGGGGGAGAATTGTACTTTCAGACTTGCAAGATTAGGGCTTCTGGTGGGGACAATGGCAGCTTAGTCACCTCTCCATGAGAAAGGAGACAGCACCACATCTGGATTGGTGGCTAGCATCAAGCACTGGCTGCCCAACTTGCTCCAGATCAAGGAGGAAGCAAGAAATCAACCCATTCGGTTTCCAGGATGGCCATTCCTCATAAACTAATTGCAGAAATGGAAACTTCTGCAAACAGCTTGAGAGCGAACGGCTGGGAGGTGGGGGATCCATGTTCATTCAAAGATGTGGTGCAGCCTAAATATGGACACTAGAGCTGGATGAACCCCATTTCTAACCCACTTTGGAATATAATTTTTTTAACATAAGAGAGACTTTCCTTTGCAACAGATAAGTAATTCTCTTGGTGTTTTTTTCATTATTTCTGGGACTATAACTTTAAAAGAAGAATTAAAGTTTTACTGTAATTTGAACAACTCACAAGAAGGTAGAAGATAAGGACAATACAAAAAAGATGTAAAGGTTACTTATGGTGAAAGGGGAAGATTTATTTGTTATAAGTTTAATTTTACAAAACTCCATCTGTATTAATAGGATTTGATTTTTTTATGGGAAGACTTTTTGTTTTCCTGTGATATACCTGTTAATTGGCTGGATTTCCAAAACAAAAGAAGACAGTAATTTGAGCTTTTTGTGTATTACCTGTTGGTGCGTGCCTGCAATTACAGCTTGAAAGGCACCAGAGGGCATCCACTGTCTGCTTACTTTCACTTATACAATACCTATGGTTGTTTGCTTTGGGGAGAAGAAAAAAAATGGCTAGAAGAGGCCCTTTGGAGCAGCTGTTAGAAGATAAAATGATTTCTTTAAATTTACTCCAATCAATGTTTGATGAATTAGGAGTTAAATTCAAGTCTCTTGAAAAGAAGATAGAGGAAAGATTGGATAAGATGGTTAATTTTGAAATGGAGATAGAGACTTGAATGTGGAATTTGGAGTTCAAAAAAATGCTGGATTAGGAAGGTGGTATGAACAAAGATGTTGTGGATCTGAAAATGGATTTTAAAATGCCAAAGGATAAGAGTGATATGCAAAAGAATGCCAGAATGGATTTATAAATGAAACCAACTGATGTCACCATGATCAAAGGGGACATACAAATAATGGAGAAGAGTAACTTGGAAAGACTTTTTCTTGGATTTGCAAAAGGAATGTGTTGTATTGGTGAGGCTGTTCCTGGGAAAAGACAAAGAGAAACTACTGGGGCTGTTTCTGGGAGAAGACAAGGAGAGAATGATGGGAGAATGACCAATTTGTGGGACAATATTTGAAAGCATTAAAGATTAATCTTTTTAGAAGTAAATAGAAGGTTTACAAAGTGAACTTATTTGTTTATGGTTAATATATATGTTGAGGCTTTTGATAGTTATTAACGGGATCTTTTTCTGACTAGGATTGAATGACAAGGTTTTAAAGATCTGTAAATAAAGGGGGAGAGATTTCATTTGCTTTTTTTTTTTAGAGAAAATAATAAGTTGGATTATGAAATGGATTTATTTTTGACTAAGTTTAACATATATTTGTTATTAAATTTATGGAATTTTTGTTCTTATATATAACTTTAATTTTTTTATATGTACAAAGGTGGAAAGATATGACATTACATACAATGGAAAAATGGATAGTGAAATTGATGCCTTTGATTTGAGAAAAGATATTGTATAATTTTAATGTTAATTGGAAACTTTTTTTGGACTTTCTGTAGGAAACAGGAAAAAATGAAATTATTTTGTATAGATTTGGCTATTAGAAATAATATGGGTTTATAGTAATAATGAAAGTTAAGTTGTAAACAGAGCAAGAGATTGATGTACACTGTTACCTATATCTGTTGTGAGGAGGGTCAGAAGTCAATTCTTTTTCTTTCTTTCTTTTTGTTTTTTTGCACTTTTGACCTTGGTCATTCTTTTTTCTAATTTTTCTTTCTTTTTCTTATTTTCTTCCTTTAATATTAGTTTTTGTTAGTTTTTACTGTTTCTA